GCAAAAGAGGAATCCCAACAGAGCCCCCACTTTAGAGAGATTCCTATTAGATTTGGACAGCAGGACCCCAGAATCACCAGGGAGACTTATCAACCTTTTTATTAACCTTGTGCTTAGGGGGGCTGGCTCTTGCAAGCCGGGCCCGTTCCTTCAACTCGTCAAACTCACGCTTGGTCTCCCACAGGGCGAAGACCATGGAGAGGTCAAGATCGGAAAAAAGTCACTGGTACCCTGAGCTCCAAGTCAAAAGCATCGAAGACCTCGTTGGTGAGGCTATCTGCTTCTTCGTTCTCCTCCCTTGGCCTCCACCTCAGGTCTAACGAAAGTCTCGCCTTAGCGATGGCAGAGGAGAGCTGCATGTTTATTCCCATGAGGGGCCACTTTGTCGTCGTGCGTTTGGTCGACAGGGCGTCGTTGGCCCGATTATCTGTGCCTGCTGCCAAGACCAGGGGGACTGACTTGCGATGCTTCCCCTGCGTGATCCAGCCAAATGCACCAAGGGCGACTAACGAAGCCAAAAGCTCTGCTGAGGTTGATGCCCACATTGCCCCCTTTCCCTCCTGGAAAAGGAAAGGGACCTCATGCGGTGTTAGTCTAAGTGAGAACCACCTCCTAGTACTGAGTTCCCAACCCCCCAAAACCACAAAGTCCTCCGTGCACTTAGCATCAGTCCTAAAGATTTCATGGGAGGTTATAATGGGTCTATTAACAGAGACTAAGAAGGTTTCACCTTTAAACTCAAGGTCAATATACTTCAAGGTAAGAATCACAGTATCCGGCAGCTTCCCAACCGTGCCTGGAGCCACGACCGCGGCCCATGCGAACAATGGAGACAAGTGCGGTTTCAGCCACGTAAGCAACTGCGAGACAAATCCGAGACGACCCAAGAACTCAATGAAAGACCTGCCAACCACGACAAAGCGATCAGTCGTCGCCTTTGTGATCCATTCAAGAAGCCAACGACCCCTCTTCTCCGAGATGCCAACCTCGGCAAGATCGTACCTCAAGTTGAATCCTACGAACTCCGATGCAAAACCACCATGGAACTTATGATATCCGAAAGGCACACCTACGAGTTCAAAGGCGAGCAGCCACACCCAAATGAGCCAAAACTTATGTTGACCAATAAAGGCACCGTAGAGATCCCAAACGTCCCAACCTGATTGACCCACACTGTTTCAGAAGACGAGTCGACCCTGCAACACATGTAACCCCAATCGGCCTTACGGATTTTCACGAGACGGTGGGCTGCCTTTATGTCAGCGGAAACGCAGAAGGGTGCCTCCCTGGACTCGACCGAAGTGCGAACCACTGCTGCGATCTCCCCTGGACCGGGGCACTCAAGCTGGTCTTGGTACCGAATGACGTTGTTCACCCTCACGGAATGAGTCCCGTCGTGCAAGGGGCGCACACTGCCGTCCGGTTTCTTGATCGCTGCCATTGATGCAACCCTCAACTTATCACCATACTGCTCACGAAGCACACCCAGCTTAGATGGGAACATCCGGCCCAGTGCCTCCTCTTCTCGAAACTTGGCTTCAAGTTCTGAAGAAGACATGTCAGCCGATGCATAGTTCTGTGCACTTGGGGAAAACTCTGACTCGTCCAACTTGCGGTGCTTGACCTTTGGAGGGCAAACCTGGGGAGACCGAGGAAGGGGCTTTTCGACCCCAAGGCAAACGCCTGAGGCAAACGAATCCTCCACATCCACAAGCCATTTCGCATCAGGGTCCTCAAACACCCCGAGCCACTGAGCAAGACCCCTCAGGAGGAAGGGCTGCCCTTGATCCACCACAAGTGCATCCCCCGGGTCCGAGAGAAGCTCTGCCCACTTGCTGCGAAGAGGCGTCAACACTTCAGCAGGAAAAGGGGATTGCGTCAGCTTGCCCGTCACAAGCCGGAAAGCTTCCTTCCTGGGGTCCTGTATGACTTGGCGAACCGTGTCACTAAGAAGATCGAAGGTGGCAGCAGCCAATCTTTTCATCTCCTCAGAACGCCTCTCGCCCCGTGCCTTTGGGGGCCACCTCCCAGGACTACAAAGACCAAAGCCATCAACAAACTCCCTACACTTACCCCCCCATTCAACCGACATGGGACGACCCCTATTCAAGCAAGATTCCAAGTCGAATTCGTCGCCATCTTCTTGGGAAACCTGGTTTAATGGGGTCAGAGAAGAGTCGTCCTCACCCGTCAGATCAAGAACTTCAACTTGTTTCAAAAGCTTCGGAACTTTGGAGGGTGGTTGTGATTCCTGCTGAGGTGGGTCCCTGACAACCACCTTAGGACAAACACGTGTTGCGGTGGCAGGCCGAGACTTGGTGCCCCCTCCGGAGGCTGCATGTGCAGACAAGACGAGGCCAGCCAAAAACTCGCAAAGCAAAGGTGGGTATGAAGCCGAAGGACCGGTATTCCAAGTGCCCTTAGACTTACCGATCAACTTGCGAGCATGAACATGACCACAATCCCTGGGCAACGGGCCTTTATAGAATCCTAACTTATCAAAACGAGGCAACGTCTGCAAGCATCTGGGATCCTGTGTATGCATTGTGGTCAAGAACCGTGTGGGTTTGGGGGTGTCAGCACCAAAATGGCACTGATGAATCGCAAAGCACTGTGCAGTAGTGGATGCAATGAGTTCACGAATCTCAGGCCACTGCCAAACGGAACCGGGGTGCTCCCCGTGCACGACGCCCAAATCCTCTGGGTGCTCGAAGAGGAAGTGACCTGCGGATGCACGGCAAATCTGACAAGCTTCAATGCACCGATCAACAAAACGATTAGCTTCCTGGACTATGAGTGAATTCGAATTGCTAAGCCACGGAAAACCCCTAGGCCAGGTCTTGCTGCGAAGAGGTCTAGGGCCTGGGTGTAGCCTATACTGAAAGCGTGCTCTGCTGAAAGAATTGCACGGCGGAGAAACGATCAAAATCCAATTGCCTTCTCGAAGTAATGCAAAAAGGGAATCCCAGAGCGCATCATCGGTCAAATCATGTTCACTCGACCGCTCAATGTCCAACTCTCTGAGCTCCAAACGGATCAAACCCTGCTCCTCAGCTTTCCTCAGGAAAGAGCCAATGTCAGAGTGGCGGCGCTTGCCAGCAAAAAGATACATGACCTTCAAGACAGGAACAGCGCGGCAATGCGACGTGTCGCTCGAATCAAGAGTCGATGCGGCATGCACTGAAGGCTCCGAAGCGCTGGCTTTCGACGGGGCCTGAATTTGTCAACCCTTTTTCTCTTTGTGATCAATGGCCATATGCTCTTGATAGCAACCCTTCACACGGCAGGCATGGACCCTATTGCAACCCCCATCACAATGTCCATTATTCCATGCAAAACACAATTCACGATTATCAGGGGTCCTCCAAGCGAGTGACAACCCGGCTAAACGAGAGTCCTGCTGCTTGTGTTTGCCCTTTCCTTTCTTTCCTTTCCCTTTGCCCTTGTCAGTTTGGTAACCCTTCGAATACGCACCTTTCCAAAAGGGGCGGGCAAACTTGTTTGGCGGAGTCTCAAAGGAAGCATGAGCTGCCTTCAATGCCACGGGTGTTGTGAAGAATGCTTCTTTGAGGTCGGCGTCGCGAATGACAGCATGCAACGCGTCGGCCAATGTGTGGCCTTGGTTGACTACCAACTTCATGGCCTCCCGGCGCAATTTGTGCTCGTACGCAAGAATGATAGTCCAATCAGGCTTGACCTTCTGCTGCTGCTCAGGTGATGAGGTCGGGATCTGAATATTCAAGACACGCTCTCCAAGAATATATTCTACGAACTTAGTGAAAGGTTCGGCGGTCAAACCATGCAGCCAATGCTTGGATCTATACCTAGAGGCCATGGAAAGCCAAGCATACATCTCTACCTTCATCACTTTACGATACTCTTCGGTGTTGGCAGGCATCTTGGATTTACTTTTCATGCGAGTGACACGAATGAGACCTGTCGAGTCAACTGCGGATTGAAGCTGGGAGACAGATGATGCCTGCTTGCTGATGATCTCATCTAAGGGCGAGGCAGTCGGCTCGTTCGCCTCGGTTTCCTCAGCTTTGAGTGAAAGATAGTCCGGAGCAGGGCATTCCGATTCACCAAGTGAACCATAGACTGCCTCCACAGCCTTCACCATCGCCTGCCTCTCGTGAATCTGAAGAATGCGAGGCTGTCCCAACACCTTCGCCTCCGCTCTGAGCTCCACCTCCTTTGCAAGAAACTCCTTAGCAATCTCCCAAGAGGAAACAACGGCGGCAGTCTCAGCTCTACCTTGGGGTGTGTCCTGAGGAATCGCGAAATCATGCAAGCAAGCGGTCCGAATCGCCGCACGGTCGTCGGCCAAGGCTGAGAACTTTCTCAAGGTCCCATACCTCCTGGCAATTGCCGCCTGATGCCCAATGCTCACTCCGGAATCCCCCAGGATGAATTGAAGATCAGAATCCATGTTCTGGGAGACAAACTCCCTATTCACAGCATCCGGATCGCCAGCCATCGCCCCGACGCCGGTGGGCCAAAACCCGAAACTCAAATGTGAAGTGAAGAGGGGATCAAAAAAAAACACAAGGGTTCACATTGGAAGTCACCCCAATCTCAATCGACCTAAGGAGAAAGAGGCGTCCAAACGACCTCAAATAACACGTCACCACGTGGCAAGGGTGTCCAAACAACCCTGACTTTCAATCAATGGCTTAGGTCCTCACCTGAGCCCCATCTCACGGTCCAAACCGTCAATCTCAATCCCAAGATAATCGGGCGCAAACTCTCGGAAGAGTCTTCAACATACATCACAGAAAAACATGAAATGAACAGCCAAGGACATACAAAGGGCGCGCATAAGCTTTCTTATGCGCGCCCTGTGTGGCCTCTCAACCTGTCTTGGTAGAAGTGAAAACCAAGAAACGAAAGAAAGAGAAAACAAAAGAGACAAAGCGCAGCCAAACTCACGAAATCTTTTCACACCATACATCGGGCCTGTCGTCAAAGCACATGCCAGCATAGTCCAATATGCCGGGCTCAATGGCATCAGCCACTTCGGAAGCTCATCGAACCACACACGAAAAGAAACAAGAATGCACATCAGCTCACATGGGACTCAAACGGATTCAGAGGGGCCACCACGAAACATAAGGCTCTAGCTCGAATCCGTCGAGGTGGATGAAGCAGTCGAACTCGATTCCTGATGATCCTTGCCACTCTCAGCGAGCATGCGCCTTTTGCAAGATCTACAAATGGAATCAAAATCACCCGAATCAACTGCATCAAGATACAAAACCTCAAGGCACCGGCTGGGCTTGACGTGGCAACCTGACATGTGGAGTCGCTTCAAGCCTGCCCTCCGGGACACGATGACAAAATATTTTGACTGCTTCTCAACAAGTGAAAGTTCTTTCTGAGCAATACGATCGACAGACTCCTCGTGGTCTTCGTCCAAGAAATCGCTCACCAATTCGGCGTCCCTGGCTTCAACCTCCAATGCTGGATACACACCTCCAAGGCAATTCCTCCCAGAAACAATGCTCAACACCCTGTGTCGCTTAGCAATCCTAGAAGGATTAGCCCCTTGGTCCTCGGCAAATTTGCAAAGCTTGACAATCAATTCGTCCTCAAACAATTCTTCAGGACCCCCTTCAATCAAAGTCCTATTCACAGCACGCTGGATCTTGAAGACGACTTGACGTGAAGTCCTCACGTACTCTTCAGCCGAAACTGTGCCCATCGACCACCTTCCCAAGAAAGCTCTCTCATCCCTGGAAAAAACCAATGACTGCAGCAACCGAAGTCATGAAGTTCCGTGGCGAATGCCCAGTGAAGAACTTCTCCAACCCATCAGGCAAGAGGAGTTGGTTTGGGGTCACGTCCCAACTCTGAAAGACCGCCTTCGGTGTCCCCAACTGGGACAACAAGCAAGAGATGAGTGAAGCCAGGCCTGAAGGTGGCACGTTCTTCCTGCGAACTCCGTCCCAAAACCTAGTTGGCTCCATCACCAAATAATCACGCTTGAAATTGAAAGGATCTTCCTCCCAAATGTCCATGCCCACACGAAGCCAATCCCGTCCAGTCAGAGACACAGTCCTCAAGATGTGAACAACCAATTCCTTTTGCGGCTTGTCGGGACCAGAAGTCTTACTTCTCCCAAGAGTGAGGCTCAGCCCAAAATTCGAAAGGATCATACGATGCGGTAGAATGGACTGAACATCATCGCAACGCATTGCCCCCCCAAACCATGCAGAGGACCACCCAAGCTAATGCCCTGGCAAAAATGGCAGCCTCCTCATCAGTGACTAATGCCTCCAAAGAAATCAACATGGCCACAGTGTACATCTCAGCTGGTTTCCTTGGGGGTGCATCCACCCCCAACTCAGCAACCCATGACTTGACATGGCCCTTCCACAAAGCATCTTCTGACAATCGAGAATCTTCCGGGACACGACCAAGTTGCTCAAGCATTGATAAAGCCACCGAAAACGATTCAGGCACGGTTCGACCACAGCCCTCGTCAACCCGATGTTGCATATAGTCAATGACATCCCTGATGCTCTTAGGAAACTTGTACCCCCTATGAAGTTCAAGCCAAATCTCAAAAGGATGCCAGACCTTGTAGCGATTCTTGAGGGTATTCCCACGCCTTGCAGCAAAGAGATGAATCCAACCTGTACGAGGGTCCTCAAGCGTCTGAACAAGTGGAACGACAGGAAGGCTAGCATCAATGATCACCTGTGCCAAAAGGAGACTGTACTTCTTCCGCTCAGCGTCAAATTGTTTCGACCTGATATCCGGAGGCTCCTCCTTGTGTTTTCTCTGTGCCTTCTTGGCATGAAGCTCAAGTAAAATCAAAGGACTCGTCTGTGAAATCTGTTTGAATGCGCTCTGAACGGAGACTTGAGATTCAAGTGGCAAACCAAACAAGGCTTTCTCTGCAACTGACTTCCGAGCCCGCTTCAAATCCCGAGAAGCCCCAGCCTTCCAAAGCATGATCTCTGCAGCGATATTGCAGGCCGTCTCCTCGACCATATCCGGAAATCCTTGTGAAATCAATTCAGCACACTCAACATCTGAATCGAAAGCTGCATCAAAGTGGAGAGGCGTCCCAAACGTCCTTTTCAAGAAACTCAACACGGCCCCATCGACCGTGGGCCAATCCATGGCCGCCCACCGTCCAATCCATATTGGATTGCAACGCGCCCCCCACCTAACTCAAAAAGAGATCGTGCTAAAGCCAGTCCACGAAATGCCATAT